GCCCTTCGCCCGCTCGCCGACGCTCTCGTCGCCCGACCGCTCGGCGACAGGCCGACGATCGTCGCTGTCCGACTCGGCCATGGGGCGCTGCGTCTCGGCCACGGTGCGCTGCGTCCTCGGCTGGCTTGGGATGCTTGAGCCGAAATTGGCCACGGTTGTTTGTTGTTCGTGTCGTTTGTCTTGCTGCTGGTCTTGTTCGCATTGTTGCTTTAGTTTCTCTTGTTTGTCTTGCTGCTGTTTGCGGGCGTGCGGGTGTGCAGCTGTCGTTTGTTATCCCTGCGGTTCGTCTTGGTGCTGTGCAGCCCTGCTGTTGCTGCTGGTTTGCTGCTTGATGATGCTGTCGGGGATGGTGTTGTTTGTGTTTGTGTTTTTTTTTTTTTTTTTTTTTTGTGTGTGTGCGTGTGTGTGTGTGTGTGTGAGCGTGTGTGTGGGTGCGTGCGTGTGCGCGTGCGCGTGCGTGTGTGTGTGTGTGTGGGTTGGTGTGTGTGCGCGCGCGTTTGCGCTGGTGCGTTTGCGCGCGCGCGTTGGCGCGCGCCCAGGCGTCGAAGCTCAACCCTCGGCCCTGGGATCGACGACCCGGGGTCCTGGGGTCTAAGCTTGGCGATCCTCGGGCCTACGATCCGAGGTGCTCGCAGATGCTCCAGGCCCAAATCTCGGATCCTCGATCCGAGGATGGAGGGTCGAGCCTGCTCGGTGGCTACGCGGGCCCGAGGGCGACCAGTGAAGCACTGAGCTCGACCCTCGGGCCTCGGATGTCGAAACCGAGATTTTCCGGCCCACGCTTTGGCGACCGTCGGATCTAGGATCCGAGATGCTCGCAGATGCTCAAGACCGAGATCTCGGATCCTCGATCCGAGGATGTAGGGTCGGGCCTGCTCTGCGGCAGCGTGGGCCCGTGGACGACCAGAGAAGCACTGGGCTCGGCCCTCGAGCCTCGGATGTCGATCCCGAGATCTTCCAGTCCACGCTTGGCGACCCTCGGATCTAGGATCCGAGGTGCTCGCAGATGCCCAAGACCAAGATCCCGAACCCTCGATCCGAGGATGGAGGGTCGAGCCTGCTCGGTGGCAGCGCGGGCTCGAGGGCGGCGAGAGGGGCGATCTGCACCTTGGATCCAGGGCCTGGGGCGCTCGCAAATGATCAAGACCAAGATCTCGGACCCTCGATCCGAGGATGGAGGGTCGAACCTGCTTGGCGGCAGCGCGGGCTCGAGGGCGGCGGCGAGAGCGATCTACCATCGCCCGCGCTCGGCCCTCGAGCCTCCGGCGCCGAACCCGAGATCCTTGAGCCCATGCTTGGCGACCCTCGGACTTATGACCCAAGGTGTTCGCAGGCGCTCGGGCTCAGGACCTCGGATCATCGATCCGAGAATGCAGGGTGGAGCCCGCTTGATTCCATGAGGATTGATCGAGGGCCACTCGGCGAGAGGGGGGGAGTAGCACCCCGCAGCTCGGAACGCCACTCGCGCGTGCTCGAGCGCTCTCTCGGAGCTTGAAGCGCAGATGGGGCTCGAGGGTAGGCCTCGAAACGGCGCCCTCGCAGCAATGGGCGCGGGGCGCTTGGCTCGGGGAGCTCGCGCGCTCGGGCGTCCACGAGCATGGGCGAGGCGGGGTCTGACTCGGCCTTCGCGTCGGCCTGGCTCCTCTCGCCATCGCGCTTGTTCAGCTTGTCGCGCCCAGCCTGGATCGACGCGTACTTCTCGGAGTGCATCTTAATGTGCAGTTCTCGAGCAGTAGCTCATCGTGCTTCTGCTGCTTGACGGTTCTCGAGTAGTTCAGCTTGGCGCGCTTGTCTCGGTTGGGGTGCTCGTGCAGCTCGTAGCTCATCTCCGCGGTTATCTTGATGTTCCAGCGCCGCTTGATGTTGGCTAGGGCCGTAGCCTTGGCGACCCCGTCGTTCGACGTCGAGACCATGGAGGTCTCGTTGCACCACTTGACGTAATCTCGGGCCCTGCGCGGAATCACGTTGAAGAGCCTCTCGGCACTGTCGGCGGGCATCTCGCGCAAGTTCTCGACGGGCTGGAACTTCTCATTGATCGGCAGCGCTGGCTCGTGGAGGTGCAGGAGCTCGGCGGGGATGCTTGGGAGGCCTGACCTGGCGCGCTCGGTGTAGGAGCCGTGGGCCAGCTTCTCGAGTTTCTCGGCGCCGAGCTCCATGTCTCTCTTCTTGGCGACCTCCTCCAGCTTGGCCTTGAAGCTCGGCGTGAGCCAGGAGACGTCCTCGGGCGGCTCTCCGTGGTTCTCGGAGATGTCGTGCGCGTGCTCGTCCTGCTCGACGTAGGTCTCGAAGAACGCCGCCACGGCCAGCTCGATGCGCCTCTTGTCCTTCTCGTTGAAGATGGGGGTGTGCTCGATGCTCTTGTGGCGCCCGCCCCGGTAGACTATCTCCAGGACGGCCTGCTGGGCGCTCGACGACCACAGGGCCGACTCGGCCTTGAAGTACCAGCTCGTCATGCGAGCTGCGTCCGTGCCTTGCGCGCTCGATTGGCATTGACTCATCTCGCCAATATTGACTTCTTCGGCGATGTAGCTCGGCTTCTCGATGATATTCTCGTTCTGCTTGGCCATGCGCCCGAGAATCTCGTTCGAGCTCGGGCTCGGCGCCGCCGCGTGCTTCAGCGCCTCGGCGGGCAGGCTCGCGGCAGTTGCGCTCTCGACCGGATGGGCCATCGCTGGGGCTCGCGACGCAGTCACGGGCAACGATGTGAGGGGATAGGCATTGGGGGGGGGACATCGTCCTGGAATCGGCGATGCATCGCCGATGGCGATGCATCGCAGATTCCAAGTCGATGTCCCCCCCAAAAAAAATTGCCAATGCATCGGCGATACATCGCCGATGCGTACGCATGCTTATCCCCCCCGATCGCTGCCCCTGGAGCGAAGAGGCCCGGTCTTTCGAAGAGGCTCGAAAGCTTGGAGTCTCGGAGAATCGGGGGAGCTTGGGCCTGGGCAGCTGCGGGGGCAGGGGGGGGGGAGGAGGAGGGGAAGGGGGGGGAGGATGAGGAGGAGGAGGAAGAGGAGGAGGAGGAGAAGCAGGAGGAGGAGAACCAAGAGGAGAACCAGGAGGAGGAGGAGGAGGAGGAGGAGGAGGAGGAGCAAGAGGAGGAGGAGCAAGAGGAGGAGGAGGAGGAGGATTGGTCATTTTGGTAGGGATCAGCACTCGGCGAGTGCGGATCCCTACCCAAACGTCGTTCTGCCGTTTACTCCATGTTTGTACTGCGTCCCATGGCCCTGCCGCACGGTCGCAACGTGGGCGAATTGAACTGGTGAGAATCCCACAGCCCGGCCACACGCTCGTGATTGCGGAAGCTGGTGTGGTGAGACCACCATGGCCGTGATCAGCGTTTTTGATGCTGCTGCTAATCAGAATGAGACGATCGCAACTTCGATCCCGCAATTCTTCCGTGGATTATCAAGTTCGGCTTCCGCGCCTTCCCCACATATAAAACCCTGTGGGCGGGGATTAAAAAATAGAGGGGGGTAAAGGGGGGCACCTTTATTATCGCCCGTTCGGGGGTAGTTCTGAACACGGCGGGCCCTAGCCACGAACACGTTCCCCGACCTGGTCCTAAGGAACGGTCGAAAACCAGAGTCCCTCCTGAAGCCGGAGTTGACATTGTTTCGGCGTGTTGACTGCAGTGCACTGCGATGCGCGGTGCCAACCACATCCACTTGCACGCAAAATAACGCACACAGACACCCACACACACACACACACACACACACACACACGCACGCACGCACGCACGCACGCACGCACGCACGCACACACACACACACACAAACGCACACACAGACACACACACACAACACACAACACACACACACAACACACACAACACACACGCACGCGCACACACACAGACACCCACACACACACACACACGCACGCACGCACGCACGCACACAAACACAAGCATAAGCACAAGCACAAGCACAAGCACAAGCACAAACACAAGCACAAGCACAAGCACAAACACACACAAACACACACACACACGGCGTTCGCCTCTGGGGGTCCGCGCGGATTTCTTGGGTCGGCGCTGGACACTCCTCCGAACACCCCTTCCCCGTCTCGCGGAGCGGGCCAAGAGCTGCCTCCTGTATGCCGAGCCGGCGGAAGAAGACGCCAGCGCGCCTGTTGCCGATCCTCCAGAAACAAAGAGACAACGAAACCACAATCCCCACCGTGAGGAGCCGTGGGGGGGGCCCTCCTGGTTGTGATCCTCTCGTCTCGCTGGAGACATCTCCTACCGTCGGGAAGTTTTGCCTAGCGTGTCGTGGCGGTGGCTCTGGCGACACGCCGTGTGCTGCGAGCTGATAGCTTGAAGCTCAGCTCCGCGGGGCGGGAGGCTGGGAAAGGCTCGGGGCGCTGACGCCGGGGGGCCAGGACGTGGATAGCGTGCCGCGCCGCAGCGCGGTGGGGCAGAACCTGGCGGCGGGGCACGCGAAGCCAAAGTCCCCGACCGCATGCCCAACTCGGGGAGACATCGTGGACCTCCCCACTGGAGAAGGCCCCTCTGGTGGTGGTGGCGTCGCTCCTCCTCCTCCTTGCTCCGATCCTCCAGCTTGTTTGCCGTGCAACTCTGACTGAGCCCGTGTCGTCGGAGGAGCAGCAGGGCGGGAAAGGCGGACACGGAGCAGCTGGAGGCCGAGAGCGCCGGCGCACGCACGGCCGCCACATAGGCAGCAGCACGAGTGCCGCACGGCCTCCTCCGCCACCCTCGCCTTCTCCTCCTCGTCATCCAACCTCCCTCGTACTGCTCCGTCCTCATCCTCATCCTCCTCCTCCGTCCTCCTTTTTCTTCCTCATCCTCCACCCTCACCATCACCTCCTCCACCCTCGCCCTCCACCCGTTCTCTTCTTCCTCCACCCTCACCTCTTCCATCTCGTCCATCCAGGATCCACCCTCCTCCCTCCTCCGCCGTCCTCCACCTCGTCATTCCTCCCCCTCCTCCACCCTCACCTCGCGACCGCCCTGCCCCCCCTTCCCCCCCCACGCGGCGAAGTTCGAGACGTCGTGGCCGAAGGGGCCATGCCCGTCGAAAACCCCTGGCCCACCGCCCCATCGCGCGCGGGTGTCTGCTAGACCTCGTCCCCGCCGCCGTCTTCGCCGTCGCCGTCGCCGCCGACGTCGCCGCCGCAGTCGCCGTCGTCGTCGGGGGGGAAAGGCACCAGACCCGGGGCCGCGAAAACTCAAGGCGCCCTATGTGTCATCACATCTGGCATCTGGAAGCCGGCTTCGGGCCTCGGGACCGTCAAAAAACTACTCGGGAGGAAGCACGTGCCCTGCGGAGGGGGTCAATAGAACTGGGGACTCACACGTAGAACAAATCGAATCCCAAAATGTCCGGGGAGGAGAGCGGAAACGATCTTGGGGGTTTCCTGGGGCGGGGTGGACTTTGGGGGGTCTCGATGCGGTCTTGTAAAAAAGGCTTCAGAAGGGGTCCCGAGAGGAAGGATGGAGGAGGAATATGCTCAGGAGTCTGGGACGGGAGATGGGGGGGATGTGGAGGAGAGGAGGAGGAGGAAGAAGCGGCAGAAGTGGTAGAGGGAGGCGGGGGAACAGAAGGTGGCTTCGGATGATATCACAAGTTTTCGATTATTTGCTGAGTTTAGGGAGGAAAAGGAGGATAACGACGACGATGAGAAGGACGAGGAGGAGGGAGGACGATCCAGCAAAGAGAGACAGAGAGAGAGGAGACGGAGAGAAAGAGAGAGAGAGAGAGAGAAAGCACTTGGTGTGAGGAGGGGGGGGCATGGAAAGGAGGACGGCAACGATGACGACAAGCTGGGGTGGCGGTGAAGGCCGGGCCGGCTCGCGTGTGCAGACCCCTGGTGTATGGACTTTCGTCGAGACCGGGAACCCTCAGCCCGTGCCCAAGAGCATCTGCGGTCACTGGTCGTCGCTGACTGCCCTGGGGCGCAAGCACGGGCCTCTGGCAGCCGACCCCGAGGACGGCCGGCAGGATGGAACCAAGCGCGGCGCTGGGGAGCTGAGCTTAAGTCGGGCGCGCCCCCCTGCAGGGGGATTTTCGACGAAGTAAAAAACATCTTCAAAGAGTACGCCAAAATGGTCAAGAGATGCTCCGAACAGAGTCCCTGGGCTAATGTTTCGACTGTGCCCGAACCTCCCTCCTGCAGAGGGACGCGCCCGACCTCAGGCTGGGTCCTCGGGCGCGCTGGACCCGAAGGACCAGGATCGGGCGTTGGCAGAACTGGGTTTGGTGGGACCTGGTTTAGCGTTGTGTACTGGGGACGCCGCCCCCCCGCCCCGTTCCACTAACCGGACCTGCCGTCACCCGAACAAAAACACCAGCTACGGCAGACCTGGTTTAGTGATTCTGGCGAATTTAGCGGCTCCGGGGCCCTGCTTGCGGGCAATAGTTCTATCCACATCCAGTGAGTCTCGGAGTTTTGGGCTCCCTTCCCCTGAATCTGGGGGCGCACTGGATATGGATAAATATCTGGCCCCAAAAGGCTAGACTTTTATCCATATCCAGTGCGACTCGGCCTTGCGGCACCCCTTCCAAGACAGTCCAAGACGCTCTCGATATGGATATAAGTATTGCCCGCGCTACTGCTAACCGGGTCCCCTTACCCGGGGTCCTGGCTATACCCGACCGGAGGGGGGGGGGTCGGCGCACCGTGGCCCGAGGCGCGCGCGTGCTGGCGAGGGCGGGCCCGGGGGGCGTGCCGAGGGAGCTCTCTGTCGAAGGGGCCCTGGGACACACAAATAATCAATACACAAAAAAAACGATTCCCCATTTTCCCATATTTCCTGGATTTCTGTCTTCCCCCCCCACTTCCCATATTTTCCCAGATTGTCTGGGGAATCGGGGATTCGTTGTGCCTGTGTGTTCTTTCTCCTCCTGACCTGTCCGGCCGCAGCGCGGCAGGGGCAGGGGCCGCAGGCGCGCTCCGCGAGGCGAGAGGGACGGCAGTGCGAGCTGCCGGGGTGCGCGGGGGCAGGGAGGAGAGCGAAGGCAGCGCTGGCCGCGGGGGGCAAGAGCGGGGCGAGCGCGCTCACGCGGCGGGGGGCCGCGGCGGGTGCCGGGAGGAGCAGGGGGGGGGCCACGACGTCGGGGAGGGTGCGTGGCCCCGGCCAGCGGGTCCAGCCCTCGCACACAGTCGCCGCGCTGCCGGCAGGAGGCGCGACAGGAGGGAAAAAGACGGCTCGGCTGGCCATGGCCAGCCTCGGCCACGAGTGGGGTCCCCGAGTTAGATCTTAGGAGCGCCAAGGAAGTCGGTACCCCTCCCAATCCGCAACGAATTCTGACTTCGGCGCCTTGACTGTTATGCTTACACTCTTCGACGCCGCCTGCAGAGGCCGAGACTGAGAACTGCCGCTAGTACGCTAGTATCGAACCCACATGTTTTGTTGCGCGCACAAGGGGGTAGGGGGAGATGGGAAGGTTTCTTGGAAGGAGGCTGCTTCTTAGAAGGCGCCGGGCGCCGACCCCACATCTACGGACAAGGCCCGCACCTTCTCAGAAGCAGGGGCGCTTCCAAGAAGCCTTCCCCTCTCCCCCACACCCCCTCTGCGCGTGGCTGGTTTACCGAGTTCGGGGGCGCCCAAGAGGGGAGCGTCCAGGAGGCGGATTCGCAAATCATGGCCTGAGGCACGGGCGCGGACGAGGGGGGGGGGGGGCAAGGGACGCACTGAAATCAGAAGATGCGGCCATACAATCTGGGGAGATATCACGGCCCCAGGCATGATATCCGCCCCTCTACACTCGGCCAAGATAGTAAGGATGCGCGGTAAGGATGCAAGGGCCTTGGAACGCCATGTTGTCGTTGTCCGTGCGGAGCGGAGCAGAATGCCGAAGGATGCCGAATACCGAGGGGGCAAGGATGCAAGGGTAGCCCCGGAAAGTCGCCCCATCCTTCCCATAATGGTTCACTGTGGTCCTCCCCCCCGCCCGCTCGGCCGCCCCGCAGGAATGCGGGTCGGGCACGGCACTCGCAGAGGTCATGCCAGGGAGAGTGAGAGAGGGCGGAGGGCGGAGGGGGTCGACGGCGAGCCTGAGGGCACCAGGGGGAGGACCCGGCAGGCCAGAGCGCACGGACGCCGCTGAAGGCCAAGACGCCAGCGTCAGCGATCACGAGCAGGGCTGGACTTTTGGCGATTCCGTGGGCCGTTTTCGTTTCGAGTTCGTCTTGCGGTAAAGGCGGGTTGGAGACAAAACGAGGGAACACGAAAACAAAACGAAAGACGAAAAACACCGTTTAGGTTCAGCCCTGATCACGAGGTGCATTTGAAGACGCCTGACCACGATCGGCACAGCGCGACATGAGACTCGAGTTGGGGTAATTCGACTTGGCCCGACGGGGTTGTCCGCAAATGGACAGGACCTATATCCGAAATGTGGCTCGAACTCACGCTTCAAACATCTCCCGAACGCAGCCGTCAGAATCCATTCCAGTACCGCCGAAAAGCGGCGGCAGAGCCGAGCCCCAACAAACACGAATTTTACGTTCCCCAGAAGTGGGGACAAGTTGGTGAAAACCCAGCGACACCGCTCCTTGCACAAGGAACGTCTGCTATGGTTGGTCCGAAGGAACCAAGGCAGTGACACTCTAACAGCAAGTGGGAGCAACCGCGGTCATTAGCAACCAGGTTGAGTAGCGACACGCAGGTAACTTGGGATGGGGAAATCCCCGAGCACGTGGAGAACGCTCAGGCCGCATGGCATCCGTGGACAAGAGTAGTGCACGCAGGGATGCGCTGCGCAGATGGGGGGACACCGACCGCAGGTGCAAACGACGGTGTGCACACACACACACACACACGGTAGAATGCAATGATTGCCCAACATGTGGGATGTAATGATTGTCCACCACCTGTCGCTGCAAATGCCCCCTGCCGCTCCGAATGTGCTGAACATGTCGACCTTGTGCAAGATGCAGAAGCTATCCTGGCAAGCACTCTCGCGACTCGTGAATGTGATTGAACCACAATGGCCACATGCTGGATACACATACAGAAGCCAAGCGTACACGAACATAGAGATACCAAGCGCTGGAAGCTACATGTGTATCCAGATCATGCCCAGGCCGGACGGGTAATGTGTATCCAATGTTATCGCGTTCGCATGCGGGATGGCCCAAACAAACAAAGTATGGGAGACTGTATGCGGTATGCGCCTAAGTGGACCGAGAACCACGAAACACACATCCCCCAATGGCCCAGTGGAATATTCCACAGCAGAAGCAAAACCATGCGCTCTCTTCCACGCCCTGACAGTAATGCCTGGGAGGAACCGTCTTACAAATATGAGATTATCGAGTCGCACGCGCCATTTTCCAGCATGAAGATTGGACATGTGCGAACTGTAGAGCTTGTTGGGGTAAGGAGGAGACTGCGGGTGAGAGGGAGACACATCGAAATCCAGGTGCAGATGAGACATGCAACGACCAATCAAATGAGAAGACCCTAGAATGACAGACATGAACGACATGTGACGATACCGGAATCTGAACACAACCACGAAGACGAATCTCACGCCAATCGGCAAGTCGTGACCGCGATATGAACGGAGGGGGACCATATCACCACACATATGAATATACTCTTGACCAATCCCAGAAGCCCAGAATCCCAGGGCAATGACATCCCTTGAAAGGACGGTGTTTGCTTCTGCTGGCTTCCGCTGGCCTTCCGCGAGCGGAGCCGCCCTCGACCTGCTCGCTTCCGCCAGCCTTCAGCCGAGGAAGAGCAGGGATCCTCCCCACCCCTCACTGGCGAGGCCTTTTCTGAATCGCGACGTATTCAGAAACGCGCCAATCGACGAACCACTGAGAACATGCCTGCGCAGGAGCGTACGATGCCATGCTGACAGGTACCGTTCAGACGTATGTGCTTGAATCCAGGCAGTGTGTGGAACTCCTGGAGGGCCGTTCTGTGCTCCCGCCGGCTTCGGAGGGCGTAGCTGCCCCTGTCCCCATGTCCGCCGCCCACCGCCGAAGGCGAGGAGGCAACCCGTCGATACCTCGTGGGCGAGGCCCCTTCCGGAGCGCGACGTCTTTGCAGCCAAGTCAAGACCAGCTGCAGAGAGCATGCCAGTGCAAAGAAACATGGCCGCATCTATGTTGTAGCGCTCGGTGGGGGCCGCAATCGCAAACCCGTGTTGCGGGCATGATTTGCGATCCCTACTTCCGCGACTTTCTAAGGAACCGACGACGGCTCATCACTAATCCATGGAACAGTGTCCGAATGGCAGGAGTTTGCGCTACCATGCAGACGATGCTGCACGTGCCGAAATGAACGCCCACCGCAGATGCAAAGACGGGCAGCGAACAACGGATAGCTGTGAGCTTATCAGCAACAACAACACCACTAAAAACACGTCAAGGAATCGGCGCGCCCTCCTCCTGTCACAACACAGCCAGGACGCTGAATTAAGGATCGCGCGTGGCCGATTACTCCTTCCCGGGTAGCGGTCGCCACCCGGGGGGAAGGGCATCGGGCGGGAGGGTCACTGCAACGGCGGCCGCGGCGTGCACCCGCCAGGGTGCGTCTGCGCCACCGGCGCAGTAATCGCCAGTGCGCACCACAGCATGTAGGGGGGGGGGCCAGCCCCCCCCCTTCCCCCCCAGTACGATCGCTAGCGCTACCCCAGGTGGCGGGTTGGCCTGGGTAGTAGCATGCGCTACCCTGGGGAGATAAACAGCAACACCTCACCGTTCAGGTGATGAGAGTTTGGCTCCGCGGCCACTCCTTGGATCAGGCCGGGGGGGCTCTTCGTGGCTAAGGCTCGCCATGGCCGCCTTCGGTGTATACGACGCTGGCTGTGTATATACATATATAAATGCATATATATATATATATATATGCTTACACCGATATATACATACATATATGTTTACAAGACTGCACTGGCGCTTTGCGCCATGCGCTTTGTTCTGGACCCTCCCTGGCAAAGCAATACAGCATCGCTTGCTTCAGCGGGGGGGGCTCGAAGCCTGGACGGGCGACCAGTTCATTTTTCTGGTATCCCTGGTGCCTGCTGACACCGCGTTCGCGCGATGCGATTGCACGCTTGCGCGCAGGAGTGGTGAAGGAATGGTGTTTTTTTCACGCGCGAAGGCCCTTTGAGGAAGTAAGGGGCGTTCCCATGACACGCCGAAGAAGTTGCAGTAGTTGCTAACACATCGATTGTTGGTAGCTTCCTGAACGCCTGGAGGGCTCTAGGAACTCAGGACATGTTCGATCGTCGAACTTCGAATCTAGATCCATTGTCTGTCCCTCTCGATCGAGAAACTTACACATCGAGCCTCAAGCGTGGAACCAAGATCGTCGGGTCAGTTCGATGTACTTCGTAAGAAAATCGTCGTCTGGGCGTTTGGGGGGCTCTCTTGGGCCGTCCTGGGGCCCTCTTGGGTCGTCCCTGGGCCTTCTTGGGCCGTCTTGGGAAGCTGGGGTCCTCCAGAAGTCTTCTGAAGCCATCTAGGGCCCTCTTGGGGACCTCCAGTGGCCTTCTTGGTGGTCTCCCATGGCTTTCGTGGGTCTCTCTTGGGAGCCTTCTGGGGGCATCTTGAGCTTCTTGCGGGCAGTCTCGGGGCTCTCTGGGGTAGTCTTGCGGCCCTCTTGGGCCGTCCTCAAAGCCTCTGGGGGGCCTCTTGGGCTGTCTCGGGGCGATATCGGGGGCCCATCGGGCCGTCTGGGACCCTGCGAAGGCCCAAACAGCGGATATGTTAAGCTTATCAGAGTGAGGGGGCCGAACGGTCATTCACTGTCCCTGGGTGCGTGGCTGAAGTGGAATTCCGCGGTGCGGATTATCGTTGTTGTTGTTGTTGTTGTTGTTGTTGTTGTTGTTGTTGTTGTTGTCTGTTGTTGTTTGTTGTTGTGTGTTGTTGTTTGTTGTTGTTGTTGTTGCTGTTGCTGTTGTTGTTGAACATTATTTCTTCTTAAGAATAATTATTGTTGGGGCCCCTGGTGCACGACCCCCCCGCCGCGCCTAGGCCGCAGCCACATTTTCATCATTTTCGTGAGGAAGTCTCAGGCAAAACGATTGGTACCGGATCCGGTTGTTTTGTTGACGCTCGTTTTCCCTTGCAAAAAAACATCATAAAATGAAAATTCTTGTTCTTACTTGATCAAATTGCAAGAATCCCTTGCAAAAAATAAGGTAAAGTGGACATTCGTGCGCGCAAGACGAAATCCTTCCAAAACCTTAGGTTTCGTAACGATTTTAACATAAAAACATCAAAAACCCAATGGTTTTTTAAGAAAAAATTGTCAAAATGTCCTTCCGCGCGCGCTGTCCGAATCCCACAAAACCAATGGTTTTTCAACATTTATGTTACATGAGCTCGCGCGAGCTACTTTTTCTTGTTCTAACATAATCAAATTTCAATAATCCCTTGCAAAAAATAAGGTAAAGTGGACATTCGCGCGCGCAAGACGAAATCCTTCCAGAACCTTAGGTTTCGTAACGATTTCAACATAAAAACATCAAAAAGCCAATGGTTTTTCAAAAAAAAATGTCCAAATTTCATCCCGCGCGCGCTGTCCGACTCCCACAAAACCAATGGTTTTTCAACATTTATGTTACATAAGCTCGCGCGAGCTACTTTTTCTTGTTCTTACATAATCAAATTTCAACATCCCTTGCAAAAAAAAGTAAAGTGGACATTCGCGCGCGCAAGACCAACAAAAAACACGACGATCTCAGGAACTTGCCCCAAAAATGTGACCAACTCCGCTCTCTCTGTCTCTCTCTCTGTCTGCTCTCTGTCTCTCTCTCTGTCTGTCTGTGTCATGTATTGTATGTCACAATTGCAGGATGCTGGGCACACGCGCGCCCCGAATAAGTGACCAAGTTCTGTGGGTGTGTACCCCACGCCAGTGTAGTAGCCACGGTCGTCCGCACGCCACGAAGTGAAGTGTCCCAACGTCATAGGGCGGGAAGCTGGGTTTGGGTGGTCGCGAAGAGTCGTTTGGATATTTGGTAGAGCTTGAACTGCCCCCCCACGAAGTGGGGGTATTGTCTCGCGTCGCATGAAAACCCTGGCACTGGTGAGAACACTGAGCGTTCGGGTAAAATGATTGTTGTTGTTGTTGTTGTTGTTGTTGTTGTTGTTGTTGTTTGTTGTTGTTTGCTCGTCGTCGCGACCCACCCGCGACCCACCCCGCGACCCACCCCGCGACCCACCCGCGACCCACCCGCGACCCACCCCGCGACCGCGACCCACCCGCGACCCACCCCGCGACCCACCCCGCGACCCACCCCGCGACCCGCCCGCGGCCCACCCCGCGACCCACCCGCGACCCACCCGCGACCCACCCGCGACCCACCCGCGACCCACCGCGACCTACCCCGCGACCCACCCGCGACCCAAACCACGTTCAAGGTACAAACCACAATTTTCGGCGCCTGCGGCGGTTTTTTTTGCATTCCTTCCAGGTTGAGAGCCCGCGACCCACCCCGTGACCAACTCGCGACCAACCCGCGACCCAAACCGCGTTCAGGGTACAAACCACCATTTTCGGCGCCTGCGGCGGGCATCTTTTGCATTCGTTTCAGGTGGAGAGCCCGCGGCCCACCCGCGACCACGTTCAGGGTACAAACCACATTTTTTGGCGCTTGCGGCGGGCATCTTTTGCATTCGTTCCCGGTGGAGAACCCGCGGCCCACCCGCGACCCAAACCACGTTCAGTGTACAAACCAATTGTTTTGGCGCCTGCGGCGGGCTGCCTTTGCATTCCTTCCAGGTGGAGGTGGAGAGCCCGCGACCCACCCGCGACCTAAACCACGTTCACTGAACAAACCAATGCCGCACAAACGCGGCGGCGGATTTTTGCATGCCGCCTGAGCCCGCAAGGACCTCTTCAAGCCCCGCGCATCCACACCAGCCCGTCCAGCAACTCTGCCCTGGCGAGTTGCCTTAATCAAAGAAGGCGGGGAGCATAAAG